AATCAACTAATGTTCTTAGCAGCAGCGATCTCGAGCTCAGTGACTCGAGGAGGTTTGGAATAATAAGAACAATTAAGTAATAAAAGTAAAGTAAGAACAATAGAGCTAAAGGACAATGCTGATGAACAGTAGGCGAAGAAGGTAGAGAGTATATACTTTTCTCAGTGATAAGATCATCTTACAAATGATTGGGGTCCCCTTTATATAATAGGGGAACCCTAAAAAAGGAATATTTCTATTTAAAGTAGGAAATATTCTCGATACAGCTGTCTAACTGCCTAGTATAGAATCGTACAATCTTGTTCCGGGATTTGTGTCGCGATTATGGGGATGTGGCAGGGATCTAGCTCATTCTGTTACAAATTCCTAACGGTACTATTTCGGGGTCGAGTATACTCGGGTCTGGTCCTCCTCGTACCCCTGTCTCCGGGCATTGCACTCTATCTTCGAGCTTGCCTCTGGTCCACCGGTCTCGAACTCGACCTTGCCTGAACTCGGGCCTATGACGAACCCTCGATCATGTAAATCAGAGGCCTCTGATTTTGACCGTAGACAAACATAGAGGATTTTCTATAATTTTGCAGTTTGAAGATTAAAGGGAGAAAGGAAGTGGGTGAAAAGAATTGGGAAATTTTCCCCTGTTGATATCCAACGGTGGAGTCGAAGTTCTTACTTGAATTGTCATTTTCTTAATTGGTAATATAAGAAATGGTAGTTTAAGGTGAGGTTTTTTTGTGTATTTATCGTTGGTGTATAATAATGGTGGTTTAAGTTGGAGGTGGGTGGAAAAGATTTGAAGAAGAAGGTGATTTAGAGTGGGTCCACTTTATTTTTAGGAAAAAAAAAAGATAAACTTAATTTTAGGTAGGCAACTCGCATCTTGAAGAGTGCATTTCACGCGATGGGGGCTAACAGGGTCAGGTGTTTAGTTGATCTTCTTTTGTAAATGAATGAAGTGTCTAGCTGAAAATGGACTCAGTTAAGGTGTCTAACTGATCGTCAGGGACAACTTAAAGGGGCTGTTTATGTATTTCTCCTTTTTTTTTTCTCATTTGGGTCGGTGGGTGGGTTTAGCTTGGAATAGGGTACTAAAATTGGGGATGAGTTATTTGATTCTCAGCTTGCCACATGTCCCTCCGTCTAAATTAGGGGCATATTTGTATTAGAGTATAACGATAAAGTCTTAATTGAACAGATAATAAAACAAAGAATATATTTAAACGATTTTTAATATTACAAAATGACACGGCAATTTAGCTAAAAGAAAAAGCAAGTTCCACTCTACAGAAAATTGAGGATACGACGACATTTATTTAGTGACTATTGGAATAAATGTCGGAAAATTTCCTTTTTTTGACATTTATGACAAAATGTCGTAAAAACTACGACATTTAATATTAATTGTCGTATAAATAATGACATTTGATACTAAATATTGTAAAAAATGACATTTGAAGGAAATATCATTAAAACAACGACATTTGATACAAAATGTCGTCAACATAATGACATTTTTTAAGAAATGTCGTAAAAAGTACGACATTTGCTACAAAATATCGTAAAAATTAGACATTTGATACAAAATATCATAAAAAGGATGACATTTGGTATAAAATGTCATAAAAACAATGACATTTGGTCCAAACTGTAGTAAAAATACGACACTTTAACAAATGTTGTCAAAACTTTTGATACAAATGACAAAAAAATATGACCTTACTTTAAATGTCATATTATTTGTCGGTAATTACGAACATTAACATCTACGATTAGAAATTTCTCTATAGTTTCTAAATTTTAAATCATTCTTTGTCTTAAAAAAAATATCACACCCTTTATATTTAATATTTAATTTTTTAAAATATTGTGATAATTACCTACAATATAGACGATTTCGTTTCTTGTTGCATATATAATAATTTAAAAGGCACGTCCAAGACTAGCTCCTGGGCGAGTCATTTGCACAATAAACTGAGGCGGCTCAAGTGTAGGGCTTAATTTGTGAGGCTTGCATGCACCCCAAACATAAGATTATGCACCCTACACGTCTATTGCTCGGCGCTCGGGCTCGCTCAATAAGTACTAGGTAAATCATCTGTTAAATTTTCTGATTAATAGTGTTGACCCTCAAAATACATTAACAAATAAATGATCTTAACTCAAAAAGCGAGTCATAGTATTGTACATTTACTAAGTGAGCGTGAGGGTTCATGTTATTTGAACATTTTCTCTGAATATATAGATAGTCTAACTATATATCCTCACTCGCTATTGATTTGTAGTTCTTAGATTTATTTCTTCCAAAAGAGACTTTAATACTTTGTATTTATTTCTGAAGGGGTAATATTTTAAATTATAATATTGATAAAGTTTATTGATCATTACTTTTAGGAATGTAATTAAATGTGTAGTTTGATAATAGTTTAATTTGTAACTTCGAGCCTTAGGGAAGTAATCAAATATATGTAGTTTGATAACAATTTTAACACTATTGCATTGTTTATACTTGTAAAACATGTTAGATATTTTTTTTTTTATGAGTTTCCTTAATCGTATGATTTTCTTAAACTTTTAGTGTACTTTCTATATTATATATATATATATATATATATATATTAAAAGTTTTAAATTGGAAATTTTTTTGATTTCTTGAACTAAATAAAATTTAAAGATTCATGAGGCTTACCCCTCCCCCGATATTCAGTGAAATGCCCACATCATATGCCTCGCCTTTTAATAAATTTTTCCGATTTAAAACTTTTAATTAAAATATCAATGTTTAGTCAAAAAATATATTATTACTATTACTTGTTAGATGTTGGATTTAAAGATGAAATATTTAAAAAAAAACAAAAATATATATGAAACCAAGTAACCAACATTTATTGACCACAATTGAGAAAGCTAATTAAGTCATAAGCCTTAGAAGCACGAGGACTCATCCCCTCTCTTCTCTCAAAATCAATTTTGGGTCAAAATGTCAAATTGGGTTTGGAAAAATTTCTCACGTCTGCTCCCTCTTCCCCAAGACTCAAAAGGAGCTATGTATGGAAAGTATTGGAGATTTAGAAGGAAAGATTTTGGCGGTAAGAATTTTGCTTCCCTCCTCCCAATTCTAAAAAATATGGTTTTCCTTCCTTAGTTAGAATTCTACAAAAAACCTAATTTTTGGTATTCCACTATGCTATAATAGATACTTGGAGACGAAAATGGCTGAGGCTTTTGCTGCTGAGATCCACAAAGCTTGTTTTCTACAAATTCAAGGTACCCAATTTAGTTAACAGATATCTTTCTTTTTCTTGGTTGTTCGGATTTGGGTTAACAGATTTCTTTCTTTTTCTTGATTGTTCGGATTTGGGTTATCAATTTTCTGCTATATGTATTGATTGGTAGATTGATTTTGATTTTTTGGGTGGCCAAACAGTGTGTTTCTGGACGTTTGTTGTTTAGTATATTAATAAAGTTGGATATAAAGTTGGATAGGCAACTCTAACTTATTTGGGGATGAGATAGAGTTTGACAAATTGATAGATGGAAAAAAGTTCATTTTTTGGGGGCATTTTTTTTATTTGTTCTGCTTTTTCCATATCTCAAATATGAGATTTTTGTGTTCTAAAAAAACTTACTAGGTTTGTTCTTTCCTAGTTTTTAGGCTCTTCAAGTTTGCTTGCAAAGCATGTTTGTAATACTTAAAACTTCTTTTTTATTGTATATAAGACACCAGCACGATGTTTGTTTAGTGATGAACTTTAACAAGATTATCCAATATCTATAAAGAGTAGTGTTCGCGGGACCCTGAGCATGAAACACATTTAATTAGAATGGAAAAAGCTAGGTCAGAATGAGAGCTTATACTCATCTGCAGGAAAGGATTTGAACTGTTAAAAAAGATCATATATGACTAAATGACAGGGGATGAAGCTTACCTCTAGTAGAAGGTCCTTTGTATTCCTTGTCAAGATCAGATATTGTTAACAAAAATGGATGGAGATTATTTCATATAGAAGGTCTGCATTCATACAGGGCTGCCCTTATCGACCCTACCTGCCCAATTTTTTGGCACTCCAACTTATACTAGATAAATAAAATGCAGGCCTCACAACAAGTTTGTTCGCAATCTAGCAGTAAAGTGGAGAGTTCCACCCATCTGACCTTGTTATTGCTCTCGGTGATGGCACCATCTTGACTTCATGGTGGATTGCCAAGCCACACACAAGTATCATGGCTTCTAAATAGACATACTACACTCAGGCACAATGTTCAACAGTTTTCAGTACATACAAGGGTTTATATAATAACCTATTGAAATACAATAACAAGAAGTATATTTATATAGCATTGCATGTATGCAAGTATATAAGCTACATGTTTTCAACCCAAACTCTACTTCTTTTCATTTTAACAACTCTAGCTTTTGCACCTCTCCCCCATAGTCCCATTTGTGTACTCAAGAAATTCCAAAACATGCAGCAAATAAACTCCAAAATATTCCCACATCAAAGCATGTATGTATAGAAATAATGGTACTATTTAAAAAGATTGGATTAGTATGATCTCATTTACTAGTTCAATCTAAAATAGATCTAAATCAAGTTCAATCAAACATCAATTTGATACTTGTTTTTCAAAAGTTATATTTACTTAAGATGTCAATTATGGTATTCTATAGTCCTATATGCTTAGTTTTGATAAAATATTAAATATTGTGGCGATAGAGTGAACTAGTTTGTAAGATTCACTTGAAAAAATAAAGAAACTACATGTGTTTTTTGCCATGCTAGATGAATACATTTGTATAGTCATTAGTAAAGTGTATACATTATAATATATATTCGTAGTCTGTGATATAATCTTTCTAGTTTCTATCTATAAGTACTCTTTTTTAGCTGATTTTTTTGCTATATGTATAGGTTATTCTTAATGGATAAGAGTTGGATAAACATATTGAATAGGAATGATCCTCTGTATGAGAATGGAGCCAAAAAGTTTCTTCATTTTGCTTCATTAGATAGGCCTAATGCATCTGAAATCTTGTGTCCATATCGGAAGTGTCGTAATATGAAATTTATCTTGAAAGAGTTGATTGTTGAACATATTGTGGTTGATTGATTTCTACCTAGTTACGTTAATTGGATTTTTCATGGTGAGGCATCATCTTCATCAATGTCTGTGGATAGATTAGATAGAGGTGATGAGATACATGGCTTGTTGCATGATGCTTTTGGAGTTCCTCCTACTACCGACTTTATTAATATAGACACTCATGGTGATAGTTTTGGTGGGTCAAATCAACATAATGTGGGATTTGATAAGAAAACTGAAAAGTTTTTTAATTTATTGAAAGAAGCTGAGCGTGAATTATATCCCGGAAGCAAATATTCACTTCTTTATTTTCTTGTTCGTCTATTACATTTAAAGTGTCTCAATGGGTGGAGTAACAATTCATTTTCCATGTTGTTAGAGTTGTTAAAAGATGTGTTTCCTGAAGGTGAAATATTACCTAAGTCCTTTAATGATGCAAAAAAATTTATTAAAGATTTATGACTTGAATACAAAAAATACACGCGTGTGCAAATGATTGTATGATTTATTGGGGTGACACAAAAGATCAAACTGATTGTAAGTTTTGCAAAGCTCCAAGATACAAACAATTTGTAGGTGAATCTGGTAGTTTAGAAACCTTAAAGATTCCAGCAAAGGTGTTTAGATACTTCCGATTGATACCGAGGCTTCAAAGATTATTCATGTCATCTAAAACATCTACTGATATGAGATGGCATGCGGAAGGTCGCACTAAAGACGGGGTAATGCGACATCCTGCTGATAGTATTGCTTGGAGAAAATTTGATGAATTGCATCAAGATTTTTCTCAAGATCCTCGAAATGTTAGACTTGGATTGGCTTCAGATGGATTTAATCCATTCAAGTCTATGTCTATCTCACATAGCACATGGCCAGTTGTCTTGGTTCCATATAACTTGCCACCTTGGTTGTGCATGAAGCAACCATACATGATATTATCAATGATTATTGATGGCCCTCATGCACCAGGCAATGATATTGATGTCTATCTACGACCGTTAATTGATGAGTTAAAAGAATTGTGGGTTGGTGTTGACACTTATGATGCGTCAAAGAATCATATGTTTCAAATGCGTGCTTCATTGCTTTGGACAGTCAGTGATTTTCCAGCACTAGGTAACTTATCAGAGTATGTGTGNACTAGGTAACTTATCAGGATATGGTGTGAAAACAAGATATGCTTGTCCATGTTGTCTGGCCAAGACTAAATTTTTGAGATTGAAATATGGGCGAAAATATTGCTTCATGTCGCACAGGCATTGGTTACCCCATGGGCACAAGTTTCGAAAAGATAAAGTTTCTGTCACGACCCCAATCCCCGGTCGTGATGGCGCCCAACACAGTGCTAGGCAAGTCCGACCAACTCAACATTTTCAATCCCTCATTTAAAGTTCATTGCCAATTGACAGGATTTAAATACCAAATTAACATAATTATAATTCTGTAACAGTAGATAAAATATGCGGAAATCAAGAAATATCACTACAAAGCCCACCGATCTGGTGTCACGAGTCAAGAGCCTCTAATACAAGTCTGGGAAAACAGCCTAACCAAAAGATAGTCTAAAATGCTGAAAGTAAAGAGGACAGAGGGAGAAATCGGGTCTGCGAACGCCAAGCAGCTACCTCGATGACTCCGGTGAGATCTGAATAGCAGCAATAGCTCAATCTACGCCTCCGGAATACCTGTATCTGCACGCATGGTGCAGGGAGTAAAGTGAGTACTCCGACTCAGTGAGTAATAGCAATAAATAATGACTGACGGAAGGAAATCTCGTAAAAAGCACTAAGCAGTTCTATATCAAAGCAGTAAGAACATTTAAACAGCAACTGAATGAAGAAACCATATAAAATCCTTTAAGCCAGTACTCAACTCATTTACTCCTCACGATAAAAAATCATAATTATACCGCTGCGGCGTGCAGCCCGATCCATATAGTATACTGTTGCGACGTGCAGCCCGATCCATATATATATATATGCTACTGCGGCGTGCAGCCCGATCCAATAATAATAGTCGACTGCGCTCACTGGGGGTGTGCAGACTCCGGAGGGGCTCCTTCAGCCCAAGCGCTATACTACTGCAGCGTGCAGTCCGATCCATATAAATATACTGCTGCGGCGTGCAACCCAATCCAATAATATACTGCTGCGGCGTGCAGCCCGATCCGTATAAATATATATACTGCTGCGGCGTGCAACCCGATCCAATACATATCAAATACCCTCACAATGGGGTTCTCAACCCCTCTCAGTCAATATAAACTTAGCCCCTCGGGCATACTAAGGTAGGATAGGGACTCCAGCCCACATGTTACTCTCATTTTTGGTTTAGCTATTTAGAGCTAGTTCGTATTTTATTAAGTGATTAGAAACATGACTGAGGGTACGATTTTTTACCGAGTAAAGTGAGGTTGATCAGTACAAATACCCCTAAGGGTTCTACAGGTTGGCACAAGGCCCCAATCATGGCAACTAGCCCAAACTAAAATTATATTAATTAAGTCTCAGTCAAAATACCATAGAATCAGCAATCGGGATGGACCAAGTCCAAATTCCCAGCAGTAATGGACCCCGCGCTCATCATGCGGCGTGTGTCTCACCTCAACATAGCACTACGTTGTGCAAATTCGGGGTTTCAAACCCTCAGGACATCATTTATAACCATTACTTACCTCAAGCTGGCCAAAGTCCTAGCTCGCTATGCCCCTGCCTCGCAAATCAACCTCCTCGCGCGTCGAATCTGGCCAAAACCACAACGAATACGTTACAATAGGCTAAGGGAATATAACCCAATCGAAAAGACTCGAAAAACATCGAAATTCACGAAGTTGGCAAAACCCGAGCCCCGGACCCACTTCTCGAAAAATCAGAAAATTGACATCACGGATTCCTCATCTCACCACGAGTCTATACATATCAAATTTACCAAATCAGAGTCCATTTGACCCCTCAAATTCCATTTTGAAATACCAAATTCCCAAGCCCTAGCTTTACCCTCTTTTGATGAATTTCCACAAATTTCCATGTTAATTCTACCATAATTTCATGTATTTAGGCCAAGGAACTTACCTCCAATCACACCTTGTCGAAATCCCCCTTCAATTCCGTCCAAGAGCTCTCAAGTTGCTTAAAAATGGTGGAAATAAACTAAGCTTCACGGAACAAAAATGAACATTAAAACCCTTCTGCTAACAGGGATTTCCGCTTCTGCGGTCCCTATTTCCGCACCCGCGCTACCGCTTCTGCGGTTACATTTCCGCTTCTGCGGATCCTCACTTAAAAGCATAGACCGCTTCTGCGGCCACCTTCTGCATCTGCGGACACCGCATGCGCGATCAAACTTCCGCTTCTGCGGAAACACCCGACTTTGACCCCTTCGGTTCTGCGACTCACGAACCGCATCTGCGGCCAGGCAGATGCGATTTTCCTTCCGCATCTGCAGCTTCTCCCTTCCAGGCCTAGAACCGCACCTGCGATAAATCCTCCGCACCTGCGGCTCCGCATCTGCGGTTCCTTTCCGCAGATGCGGAAATACCAGATACCAGGTGCCTTCAACAGTCTCCAAACTCCAAATTTCATCCCGTAGCCATCCGAAATCATCCCGAGGCCCCCGGGACCTCAACCAAAAGCACCAACATATCCCAAAACATCACACAAACTTGTTCCAATCATCAAAACACCTCAAACAACACCAAAATCATCAATTCTCATCGGATTCAAGCCTAAGTTCTTCCAAAACTTCCGAAACACGCATTCGATCAAAAATCCAACCAAATCACCTCCGAATCACCTGAAATTTTGTACACACATCCCAAATCACCTAACGAAGCTACTGCAACTCTCGGAATTCCATTCCGACCCTCGGATCAAAATCTCACCTACTAACCGGAATTCGCCAAAATACTATCTTCGCCAATTCAAGCCTATTTCTACACCGGACCTCCAAAATCAATTCCGATCACACTCCTAAGTCACAAATCATCCCCTGAAGCTAACCGAATCACCGAAAATCACATCCGAGCCCTCTAACTCATAGGTCAACGTCCGGTTGACTTTCCAAAATAAGCCTTTCTTAAAGAGACTAAGTGTCTCATTTCCATCCAAAATCAATCCAAATCAACTCATTCACCCAAGACTCATATAATAAAACATAAGGAAGCAGAAAATGGGAGAAACGGGGCGGTAACTCACGTGACGACGGGCCGGGTCGTCACAGTTTCGTTTGATGGTTTTAAGGAGTTAGAGGCAACACCTAAATATTTGTCAGGTATTGAAGTTCTTGAGCAATTGAAAGGTATTAAAAATAAATTCGGAAAACATCTATCGGCCAAATCCAATAAAAGAAAATGGAAGAATTCTGATCATGTTGACGATGCCATGTTGCAATATTTATGGAAGAAGAAGTGCATATTTTTTGAGTTAGACTACTGGAAAGACAATATGATTCGTCATAATCTTGACACAATGCATATTGAAAAGAATGTATTTGACAATATATTCTGGACATTACTAAATGTTGACGGGAAAGGAAAAGATAATCTGAATTCTCGTTTGGATTTACAAGAGATGGGGATTCGAAAGGCTTTGCACCCTAAAAAAAGAGCTAATGGCAAATACTATCTACCTCCGGCCTATTTCACTTTGAGCAATGCACCAAAAGATATGATCTTACAATTTTTAAGAGATGTGAAAGTACCAGATGGATATGCTTCAAATATATCACGTTGTGTTGATCTTATGCAACGCACTGTGCATGGATTGAAGAGTCATGACTGTCATATTTTAATGCAACAACTCCTTCCTATTGCTTTGCGAGGTCTCCTTCCAATGAATGTCCTTAAGCCAATGATCGAATTAAGTAATTTTTTTAGGGGCATTTGTTCAACAGTTATGAACATAGGTGAATTAGAAAATCTCCAAGATCGAGTTGCAATAACTCTTTGTCATTTGGAGAGAATTTTTCCTCCATCTTTTTTTGATATCATGGAACATCTAGTCATCCATTTAGCTGAAGAAGAAAAGATTGGTGGACCTCCACAATATCGTTCAATGTGGGCATTTGAAAGGTACCATTTCGTTATTCTTATTATTGTACTTATGAAGTATTATATTGAACTATAATATTATTTATTATTTAGGTACTTGCTTACTCTTAAAAATTATGTGAGGAGTAGAAGCCATCCAGAAGGTTTAATTGCAGAGGGATATTGGATAGAAGAGTGCATGACATTCTGCTCAAGATATCTACATGATGTGGAGTCACAGTTAAATCGGCCTTTAAGAAATTATGGTTTGTATAGTGAGATTCCAAATCAAGAGGGTCGTCAGTCAACTAAAATAGACGGGTTTACGCTTGATGACATTACGCATGCCCAAGCACACATATATGTTTTATTTAATTCTGCTACCATAACGCCATATCGCGAGTAAGTATTCAATAATATTCCGCTTTATAATTAATTATTAAGTAATGATATTTATAATTTCTTTTATTAAGATTTCATGTGTTTTACTTTTGCAGTGAGCATATAAAAGAAATCAAGAAGCAAAATCCTCGTCTATCAAGCCATGATGTGGATCAAATTCACAATGAAAAATTTCACATATGGTTTAGAAAACATGTAATTGTGAACCAGCTAAAATGCTTTTATACACACACACACTATATATATATATATATATATATATATATATATATATATATATATATATATATATATATATATATTATAATATCAATTTTTAATTAGTTCTTGCTTATTTATAGGTTGAGAAGATACATAAGGCAGGTGAGCAAATACCAGAAGAAATTCAAAATCTAGCTATTGGCCCATCAAAGCAAGCAAAAAGGATGAAAGGATATATAAGTAATGGAGTTAGATACTTAACAAAGTCTCGTGATGCAAAGCTGAAAACACAAAATAGTGGAGTTATGGTAAAGACTGCCACTCAGAGCTATGCAAGCGCAAGAGACAGAAATCCCATATTAGCAGAAGTCACCTTTTATGGAATTCTCACAGACATAATTGAGTTGTATTATACCGCAAACCTCAAGTTTATACTATTTAGATGCGAATGGGTGGACAACAAAAAGGGGCTTATTGTGGAAGATGATTACTCTTGTTAATTTTTCTCAGCTACTCTACAAAAGGAAGCACCCGTCAAATGAACCTTTCATCTTTGCTTCTCAAGCTCAACAGGTGTTTTATGTCCATCATCCAATGGCAAAAGAATGACAGATTGTAGTTGAAATTAAACCAAGAGGTTTTTATAATTTAGGTGAAAACAAACCAGCAAATGAGCAAATGGAAGAGCACATGGAATTGTGGCCCGAACAACAACTGGATGATACTATATTTGAAAACGAAGAGGATATTAAATGGGTTAGAGAAGGTGTTTCGGGAATAGAAATTGACCCGCTTACTTTGGAAAGTATTGAAACATATGATGAAGAAGATAACATATCTTAGTTACTTTTATTATTTTTGTCACTATTTTAGTAAAAGATTGTTATTAAACATAGATCATCGAGTTGGGGAATTCTTATTATGCTTTTTAGTTGTTTAAATTTCACATGCGTATACGTCTTTTTGTTTGGCCTGCTAGTTTTGATATTATTTTATACGTCTGGATAGTAGAATTCTCTTTTTATTTATTATTTATCGTGAATGGGGGACTCATTACACATAGTATGCCCGATCAGCTAATTTTTTTTTCAATTTTGCAGAAACTATAATTTTTGAGCAACTTTGTTGTGATGGCAAGAAAAAGACAGAAATTCCAGTCAAAAAATGCTTCTGCCTGATTTTTCGGAGCAACAAGAAGAACAAATGGGCGGTGCGGCGATGCCTCAACCACCTCAAAACTGACCACAAAATGAAGGACAAGCTATCCGATCTGCTAAATCAAGAAATGATTCACATGAAACAGAAAATTTCCCAGGTACTTTTTCTGTATAACTGAGTGTATAACACGCTTATTCTGTGTGTTGCGCTCCACTATTTCTGGTTGTTAATAATTGAAGTGTTGTACTTTACACTATGGATATACTACAAAGTAATCTGTCCAGGATTAATAAAATGCTATTTACGAGTGTCACGTATAATTACTCTTTTTTAACCAAAAAAGAAAAAAAGAAATAAGAAAGAGATGTTAGTTGGGTGAAGATTCTAATTGTAAAGACTTTTCAGTAGTTCATTTCTTATTAAGAAAAAAGAAATTGAATGTTTCACTGTTGTTCAGTGTTTTGACTACTTTCAACAGCAAATTATATTTGTTTCTGGAAATTAACGTTGGTACTTAAGTATGCAATTAGCCAATTGTGTTCTTTTCCTAAATTTCTTTTGGAGCAAAAAGATCTAGAGTGTGATTTTCTGATGTAATTTTCGATAGAGCATAACCAAAGGGGAGTGCTCCCTAATTATTATCAAAGGAGGTGCTTTAACAGTCTCTATGGTGCAACTCTCCAAGACGAATAACAAGTTTACTTTCTTTTTAAATCTGCCTTCCTCCTAATGCAACTAGTCTGCAGTACAGTGACGTTGCTACCTTACTAGTTATGGATGACTCTCTTTTTTATATTTGGTCATTGCAGACTCTAGTGCTAATGAAGAGCAATCTAAGCGACCTGTCCTACTATGATGCACTCAGGATGGGGAAAAGATGGTGGCATTTTACATGTTGAGTTGAATAATCTTAGTCAAGCTATTGGACCTGATGCAGCTAGATTGAGTTCAAAACTTGGAGTCATAGCAAGAAATGGCATTTTAGCTCCTTTAAATCATAAAGATTGGAGGCTTGTGCCTAAACTGTACAAGAATAGGATATGGGCTCATATTAAGGTGCTTAGAAAATAAAAAAAAGGTTATATACTAAGATGCTTATTGATTTTATGCTTTTATACATGTGTTATATGTTAATGTTTGTAGGAAAATACTGATGCAACCGAGGATATGAGATGTATGTTGATGATATCGGTTGGATCTAAATGGAAAGAATGGAAGCATGAAGCAAAAATGATTGGTTATGAGCCATACAACAACGATATCGAGCGCTTAGCTAAACGTCCAGACAGGGTAGAAGAAGACCAGTGGCGTGCATTAGTTCATTATTGGAGCTCTAATGAAGCAAAGGTATTCTCCGAGCATCAAGCATCTTCTTCTCTTGCCCTTAGCACACGCTATTAGCGCATTCCGTATGCGGATTATACTTTTTCCTCTAAATATTTTTATGCTTTTCCTCTGTAATCCTTCTTACCTTTACTCTTTTTTCTTTTAAAAGTTTTATTCTTTGGTCTGATATTTGGCCATGGATTATCTCTAACATATAAAATTACGTGCAACTTTTCTAGGAAAAGACCGTGAGGAACAAAGAAAGTCGAAGGAAGTTGAGTATGCCACACACATCAGGAAGAAAAAGTCATTCTCAAATTATAGATGATGTATGCCATATTTACTATAAGCTTTCTGCAATTTATATATCAATACTTATTTTCTTGAATATATTTGTTATAAATTTTTTACTATTTAAACAGATGACAAAGAAGAATGGTGTAAAACCAAGTCGTATCGAGGTATTCAAAGAAACACATACGAGAAAGAATAAACAACCAGTAAATGAGATAGCTGATGAAACTATGGTAAATTCCCATTCTTTATGGATATGAATTACTTTCTTTCGAATATAAAATTTTATTAACTTTGTACTGTTTTACCTTTTCTTTCCAAAAGAAAGAAATGGATGAACTTGCTAAGGTGTATCCCGAGTTAAATGTCCCAGGAAGTGCTCCCAATGATGTGTATGCACAGGTTATGGGACCAGACACTTATGGAAATGTTCGAACTTTAGGAAAAGGAGCAACTCCAAGTTTTGTTTATGGCCCTACATATAAGCGATCCCAGGCTGAGCAAAGAGATTTTGATAGAAGGGTTGAGATAGAAGTTCAAAAAGCTACCTCCGCTATGCAAATTGCAATGGAAGAAAAATTGTCTGAAGCAAAAGAAGAAATAGAAGCGACTGAGAAAAAGTTATTTGAAGCAAAAGAAGAAATAAAAGCGTTGGGGGAAAAAATGTTAGAAGCATCAAAGGATATGGATGCAAAAATAGAGGATAAAGTAAAGCTGGGTATACATGCATATCTAGAATCATTGGGTATTACTATTGGCTCAATTAAGAAATTATCTAGTGATGTGCAGGTAAAAAATATTGTGCTCTTTAGCAAAAATTTATTGTATTTAAGATAATCTTGTAATTTAGTTTTTTTTTTTTAATTGTAGTAATCTTCCTCTTTTGTGATAGGTTTCTGATAACTCAATGGACGATCACCAACAATCACTCTCACTCGTTTCACTTGTTCACACAAAGATGGTGAGTTTGTAAACTCATTTTAACTAAATCTTTTTCTGCATACATTCGAAGAGTATAGTTTTAACTATGCCAGTTTTCACTTTTGTTACGTAAAGCTTCAAAATAGCATTTTAAAGTATAGGGGCTATTTTAGAGTAAAAAAGTTTATGAGTATGTCCTCTCAAGGATGGAGTTCCATTTTTTGTTAATTGATAAGATTCCCATCAAGCATGATTTTACCCTCCTACATAAGGTATTTAGCCTCTTGTAGAACCTGGAAGATTTTCCTGCTTTACCAGAATTTAAAGGTGCTCATCTACATGCACAAAACTGTCTTAGTGAGTTGATCCAAGTGGCACATACGGCTGCCCCTGTTAGCCAAGGTAGAAGGACCAACATTTAAATGCTAAATTATTTTCTCACTGAAGGCCTATCTTGTTCGTTACTAACTGTTATATCAATTTCTGTTGTGTAAAAATGCTACAAGCACTCATGAAGTGATGCTTAATCTGTCTAAGTTTTCTCCTTCTAACAGCCAATTCTATGTCATATTCTACAAAGCAGAAATACCTATTTGTGTGAATGATTTATTTTTTGGCCTAAGCTTTCAGGATTACCTATTTAAGAAAATAGTTGATGGCTTGGATATAGTATTCATTCTAATCAGCAAGTTACTTGGCATAATCACTTCTTTGTTAGATCTTTCACAAACTAGTTCGTCGTTATCAGATGTTGGTTTTTTCTAATCAGCAAGTTACTTGGCATAATCACTTCTGTGTTTTTATGTCTTTTATTCATAATTTTTTAAGTTGTAAATTTTGTAAACTACTAGAGTAACCAATCTAATATTTCTTTTCAGGTTAACATAATCAAGAAGACTGGAGTTAGTGAAGTTGGCACAAAGAAAAAGAAGCGGGTAAGTTTGAAAAAATTACAAGGTTCTTGTTCCTCCTTTTCAAAGGGAGAAACCCTTCATGTTATAGTTTGCAAAACTTATATAACATTCATTAGTTTTCATCTCAGTATACAATTTACAGAAACTAATATTTCAGAATTCAACCCTCCCCTCTCCCACCCTGTTTCTGCTTCAGTCTCGAAGAAAAATAAAAACTAAAAGAGTAGGGAATGATTTTCTTAAGTGCAAGATGAATTGAGAATAGCTGAACATTTTCTTTTCCTTGGCAAAGAGTGAAATTGTGTTTTGTACTGGACACCATTTTTCTAGTACAAGATGATTTTCTTATGTTGTCTGTTTCTTTCTCTTTTCAGTTGCTAGTATTACATTCATTATCAATTTGTTTCTCTGTTAGAACATGAACATGTTATTATTTTTGGTATTCCAATTGTTTTAGAGGAGGAAAGAATTCACTTTATTATAAAGGGATAATTCTTTTTTTTTTTCTTTGTGACCTCTTGTGCAGCATTCTTGAAGGAAGTGATGTCAATTACTGTCAGTGAAAAGCTTGACTGTGGACAGTTGGTTTTATAAGATTTAGTCTAGAAGTTGAGGAAAATTAATTTGAATTAGGAGTAATCTTAAAGTACTTACATATTGAAATTACTATCTTTTATGATTTAGTTGGATTTGTGTTTTACATGAGAACAAATCATTTGATTTGACATTATTTATCTTGTAATAAGTACGTTTTATATTGCTACTTTGTTCTTTGGTTACTGTGTTAAAAGATATTTGATATACATTTATTTCATGTTTGTTATATAAGTTGATATTTGTAAATGCAAATGTGTTCATGATGAAACTAAACAGAGCATTATTATTTACATTCTAAAAAATATGATATCGATATTAATTTAAGTGTCAAACATTTAATGCGATATTTTGCTATGTTGTAAAAGATATGTCACTAAACTTTTTTTAATGACATTCACATAAAATGGAAACGACATTTTGTATATGTTGTGAATTTTCTTAGTGACATTTACGAAAATGTCGAAAATTTCAATACGACATTTTGTAAAGATCATATGTAAATGTCGTATTTTTCAGTAACATTAATCTAATTGTCGAAAATTTTAAGTGACATTTCCTATATGTTGTAAACTAAATGTCGTAACATTCTTACCGATATTTACCTAAATATCGTAAATTAAATGTCATAAATTTCTTATTGACATTTACATAAATGTTGCAAACTAAGTGTCGTAAATTTCTTATTGACATTTACCTAAATGTTGTAAAATAAGTGTCATAATTTCTTACTGACATTTACCTAAATATCGTAAAGTAAATGTCATAATTTCTTACCGATATTTACCTAAATGTCGGAAAATTACCGACATTAAAATTAACGACATTTGATGCAAATGTAAATTAAATGTCGGCAAATAAATTTGTGACATTTAAACAGCTTAATACGACATTTATTAAATGTCGTCATATCTCCACTTTCTTGTAGTAGGAAATTGCAGCTTTAGGAGTACCAAAGTCAATGCATTCATATATTTTTTTTGTTTCAATATTTTATGTAAAATAAAGTATATATTAAGCAACAACAGGAAAAAAGATACTATAAATTCGTATTTTGTAATGTAAGATATTAGGAAGTATTGCAACTAAGGAAATAATAATTTTTAGTTTTTAATGATTGAATATGTACATACTTATATAGAAGGACGAAACTACTTATTTTTCGCATTCTGGATGGTATATGTGATATTTTTAATGGGTAATGTCTTTTTGATATTATTCAATTGACTTAAGTTATATGTCCTAACGATATAATGAATTTTTACACTATTGATCTAATTAAACCTTGTATAACAAGTTACTCACCGTGCATTAAAGATTATCGTCAATGTTATTAGATAAGCTACTTGTTGTGTTTAAGTGAGCATTTGGACATAAGCATTATAAAATTTCGTAAAAAAAGTGGGAAAAAAAATTTAAGTAAAAATAATAGTTGAAAATTAGAGTTATGTTTGGACATGAATACAATTTTGGGTTGTTTTTGAATTTTTGTAAGTGATCTGAAGTGAATTTTTTTGAAACATAGTGTTTTTGTAATAAAATAATAAAAGAACAAGAACAATATTGCAGAGAAAGAGAGAGAGGGAATTCTTATTGAATTTTGGGATGAATTACAATGGAATAGAACCCTCTATTTATAGGGAGATGGTGTCTTAGCCACCAAGTAATAAACCGTAGAATCTCTCTAAATATAGACATTCACCATAAATAGAACTCTATTTATAACAGTTTTAGAGTTTTTCAAATTTTTGAAATATTTCAGAATTTATTTTTAAGTGAAAATTGAAAATTTCATGGGCAAACACTGATTTTGGAAAAAAATAAAATATTTTCGAAAAAAAGTGATTTTTTTTATGGGAACGGGCCCTAAGTCTAGACATTGCATTGCACTATAGTAAAATCCCCTTCCAAGCTAAACTCCTAAGTCCCTTGAAAACTTGTTTATGGGCCTCGCAAGTAACATGGCTTTTCTGAGAAGTGGCATGGGGTGGCCAGTTTTGACCCTTCTATTTAATGTGTAGTCAGTGTATTAAATTTGGTGCACAAATAGTCATTACGTTGTCAAAATGAACTTCAAAAGACATTTTTTCGCTTCTAAAATAGTGCTAATCTTCGCTTGAAGCCTCAAGCTTGAGAGGTTCTTCAATGGAGGAAGTTTCTAGAGAGGAGAAGAAGAGAGCATTTCATAGGCAAAATGAAAGCTATTGTTTCATTAGGTATTGTGCAAGGTCGTTATATACAAGACTTCCATTAACCGACTAGCTAATTAACTTAACCAATAAAACACTGCCATGTCATCATTACAAAATAACAATTACAACTAACAGCTAGCTAACTAAAGATTAACTAACAAACTAACAATTACAAGTCATAATACTCCCCCTCAAGCTGGAGGGTGCAAGATGTTTAGCGGACCAAGCTTGCCTAAGAGAAATAGATGTTGAGCTTGACACAACCCTTTTGTGGACAGATCAGCTAACTTGTCTCGAGTGTTCACATAGACTGTTTTGACGACACCATTTTTTATCTTATCTCAAATGAAATGCCAGTCAATCTCTATATGCTTGGTACGTTCGTGAATTATGGGATTGGCTGCTATTTGCATAGCAGATTTGCTGTCACTGAAGACTGTAATAGGAACTTGAATGGCAACTCCCAGCTCCTTAAACAGGCCTAACAACCAAGTCACCTCTGCTACAGTTGAAGCCATGCCTCGATACTCAGTCTCAGCAGAACTTCTAGACACTATCTGTTGTTTCTTGGATATCCAAGAGATCAAGGAATCTCCAAATTTAATCACGTAACCTGTAACTGACCTGCGTGTATTGGGGCAGGCAGCCCAATCTGAATCACACCAACAACTTAACTCAGTCACAGCCCCTGTCTTCAGCCACATACCTTGACCTGGAGCATTCTTTAAGTATCTAACCACTCTAAGTGCAGCTTCCCAGTATAATCTTTTAGGCTGATGCATGAATTGACTCAAGGTTTGAATCACATAACTGATGCCTTGCCTTATGATTGTAACATACATAAGTTTCCCAATTAGCTTTTGGTACAGAGTAGCATCCTGTAATATCACATCTCCAACAATGCCAATGGCTTTGTCATACTCCACTGTAGTCAACTTCAAATTGATTTCTATAGGAGTGATAGTAGCTTTGGCTACACTGAGGCCCATATCAGAGATTAACTCAAGCACATATTTTCTTTGGTTTAAGATAACACCAGCTTTGGACCTAAGGACCTCAATTCCCAAGAAATATCTGAGTTAACCTAGGTCTTTCAGCTTGAATCTCTAATGAAGCACTTGCTTGGATTCAGTGATCAAATCTGCACTACTACTTGTAATGAGTAGGTCATCTACATAGACCAGGATAACCACCATACCACCCTTCTTCCTCAAGGTGAACAGAGAATAATCATGACTACTCTGAGTGAAGCCTGCATCAAGCAATGCCTATGTTAGCTTAATGTGCCTAGAGGCTTGTTTAAGTCCATATAAAGACTTAAGTAATCTGCAAACCTTTTGCTCCCCCTGCCTTCTAAAACCTTCACGTAGTTCCATGTATACTTCTTCACAAAGATCACCTTGAAAGAAAGCATTATATACATCTATTTGGTAAAGAGACCAACCTCTAGATACTGCTAGTGCTATCACTGATCTCATTGTGATCATCTTGGCCACAGGAGAGAAGGTGTTGTGATAGTCAAGACCTTCTTGCTGACTGTATCCCTTGGCAACCAATCTGGCCTTGAATCTTTCAACTTCCCCATTGGCATGATACTTGAACTTGTATACTCACTTTGAGCCCACAGTATTCTTTCCTGCAGGTAGATCAACAAGTTTTCAAGTGTGATTATCCTCCAAAGTTTGAATCTCTTGCAGCATAACTTGAATCCATCTAGCATCTTTGGCTGCTTGCTTGAAGGTCTGTGGTTCTACCAAGGTGGAAAATTTAGACAGATAGCTGCCGTAAGTTGGAGTAGCATTATCATATGAAAGATAATTGGCCAATGGATACTTGCTGAAAGCTTTGTGTGGTGCCACATAGTCTTTCATCCAAATATGGTCTTTGGATTCCCTAGTAGACCTTCTGACATGTGCTGGTGGTGTTGTTGCATCTGCTTCTTGTGTGGTATTCTTATGTATAGGAATTTCTAGTATTAACTCTTCTTATAATGTTTCCTCTTCTTGTGATATTGTAACTTGTTCCTGCTCTACACCTTCAATGACTAGTTCTTCAGACTCAAAGTTATCAGTTGTATCAGGTGTATCAGTATTTGTGTGAGTTTTCTGTAGCTCTTGATCTTCTATCTTCAGATCGGGCATGTCAGGAATCCAAGAATGATCAGTGTCGAAATTTGCAGCAAAAGGGAATTCTGATTCCTTGAAAACTACATCCCTACTTACAAAAAGTTGCTTGCTATCTAATTCCAACAACAGATAGCCTTTCTGTCTCTCAGAATAACCCATAAGAACTGCAGGTCTTGCCATTGCAGCAAACTTATCACCCTTAGGTACAGTAGTTGCATAACACAAATATCTCATTACTCTCAAGTGATTCGGAGATGGAGACTTAGAGTATAGCATTTCATAGGGACTCTTTCCTTCGATAGCTACAGATGGTAGCCTGTTAGTCAAATACACTGCAGCGGTGACACAGATGCCCCAGTACCTAATAGGCATTTCAGACTAAAACTTTAAGGCTGCTGCTACCTCTAATATATGCCTATGCTTTCTCTCCACAATACCATTCTGTTGTGGAGTGTAAGTGCAACTACTCTAGTGTATCGCACCAAGACCTTGCAAAAGTTCATTACACAGAGAACTAAAATTTTTTATTCCATTATCAGATCTTATTATCTTCACCATAGTTCCAAATAGATTCTTTATCATCAAAAGAAAGTTTTTAATAGCTACTATGACTTCTGATTTAAGTTGTAGTAAATGAATCCATATGTATCGACTGAAATCAGCCATAACAGTCAAGAAATAACATTTCTTATGAAAAGTTGCAATAAGGGCCCAAAGGTCCATATGAACAAGAAAGAAGGGAGAATCAACTTTGGAGTTACTAGTAGGAAACACTAGTCTAGTATGCTTAGCTAGTGGGCAGACAAGACACTTATTCAACAACTCACTATTTACAGCACTTCCTAAATTCATGTTCTTCATAACATTAGGTGAAGTATGTCCAAGCCTCATATGCCA